AGGCACGGCAGTCGTAGCGCTACGATAGCTTTGTGAAACGGGGCCCAGATATCTAAGACTGTATCTGTCATACAACCAGGTGAACCTGTAACTGCCAGAAGCTCTCCAGCTACATCTTTTCAAAGGACAAGGTATGATAAGGGTGGTTTTTGGCCCACAAACTGAATTGGCTGAACACATGTTATTTGTTTAGAGACAAGATGGCTTTGCATAAAAAAGCTAATTTTTAAATGATCTGAGGCCATAATTTCAATGCAGAGGGGCCAAAAATGGGTTTTATCAGTTCCCATGAAAAAATAACAAGACATCTGAAATATCAGTGTGCCATAATGACTTATATACAACTATCAGTTTATTTACATACAAATAGTATCAGTTTTACAACAGGTATTCATGATGAAAAACATGTCAACATCAATCACAAGGTTTTAACTTCAAGGGGCCCAATTAGGGTTGCCATACATTGTGAACAGTAATTCAATTACTTGCCAATTAATTGATTACAAAAAAGCTCATTATTCACAACTTTCTTTGCAAACAAACTATAGGTCAATTTTACAACATGTACTTATGATAACCAATCATGTCCCACGAAAAATCACAGGGGCCCATTTTAGGTCTAATTACATTTTGGGCACAGCTTGATTTGAACAAGTAAGTGTTAAAAGTCAGTATTCACAACCGGTTTTAGCAAATATACAGTAAACATCTCATTCACAACATGTTACTACAATAACCAATCATGTTGCACTAAAAATCACAGGTCTTGACCTCAAAGGGGCCTATTTCAGGTGAAATTACATTCTTGGCACAGCTTGATTTAACACCATGTAAGTGTTAAAAGTCAGGATTTACAACATTCTTGCAAATATACAGTAAACATCTCATTCACAACATGTTGTTATAATAACCAATCATGCTTCCCTAAATATCACAGGTCTTGACCTCAAAGGGGGCCATTTTTGGTGGAATTACATTCTTGGCACTGAGCTTGATATTAACACCATGTAAGTGTTAAAAGTCAGTATTTACAACATTCTTGCAAATATATACAGTAAACATCTCATTCTCAACATGTTGTTATAATATAACCAATCATGTTGCACTAAAAATCACAGGTCTTGACCTCGGCCTATTTCAGGTGAAATTACTTTCTTGGCACAGCTTGATTTAACACCATGTAAGTGTTAAAAGTCAGTATTTACAACATTCTTGCAAATATATACAGTAAACATCTCATTCTCAACATGTTGTTATAATAACCAATCATGTTGCACTAAAAAGCACAGGTCTTGACCTCAAAGGGGCCTATTTCAGGTGAAATTACATTCTTGGCACAGCTTGATTTTGACACCAAGTAAGTGTTAAAAGTCAGTATTAAAAAATCTTCAAAAAGTAATTATTCACATCTCATTCACAGCAAAGATATATAAAACATCCACTTTCACTCTTCATCCACATGGTCATCAATCTCTGAATCAGTTTCTGAATCACTGTCAAGAACTGCAGCATTCAACCGTGTATCACTAGAGGTGCTGGAAACTGGCATATTGTTTTGGTGTCTGCCATACCCAGATCTTCTCTCAACTGAAAAACAGATGACTTTATATCAAAAGAAAATTCTGTTTTAAAACTTTGATATTATAAATCTATTCAAGGGTAACATTACTTTTTTATTTTCAAATGTCAGTAATCTGGCCTTGAAGGCTTATGCAGATTTAATCACCACTGAGACATCAGTATTTCTGAAATTCTGTGACATTAAATTAGAAAATTGAAGAAAAAAATATTGTTTATTTTTTAGCACTCATATTATGCTTACCTTCCACCTCAAGTTTTAAGTTGTCATCTTCATGAAATGACACTCCTGAAATCAGTCCAAGCAAATTTCTCTTATCTGAAAACAAATATTTGAAATCATAAAAGAATTATCATTATGTTCAAGAAATTGGTGCTTTCTAATTTTTCGAATGCTAAACATGTCAATAGTATAGTTATATAGGGAAGGGAATTGACCTCCAAAAGCATAATCAATCGTTGAGGCCACTTTTTGATCAATTATAGATATAACATAAATACAACTGTAAGAGCACATGAAAACAAAGGTAATCAGTCCTCGTAATGTTTACATTCCCACAATGCAATTGTGGAATGTCGCTTGACTACTCAACTTCCTCTGGATGTACTGATCTAAACTTACGCTGGTAGTAGAAATGCAACGTTCATATTGCCCCATATGGTTTACTTTAATGACAGATGTAATTAAAATAATTCAGAGAAGATATTTAATCCGAACGTAAACCGTCATCAAACTGTTATCATTTGTTTTTTTTCTGGTAACGTTCGTCTTAACGTAGGGGGCAGACACATCAATAGAACAGCGCGCCAGTTAGCCCTGTGCGAGGATTCTTAATTTAGGTCACCGACACCGTCGTTTGTTTTCTGCCTTAAATTAATCGTAATTATCTTTAGAAAGTATTAAATTTGGCATCTTAGAAAAGAAATACACTTCGCCCTACCACCATGTATAGTGTAATAAAACACACTTTCGACCTGAACTATTATAACGTTAAAGCACTCGGACGCAAGCGTCCTCGTGCTTTAACTATAATAGTTCAGGGCAAAAGTGTGTTTTATTACACTATACATGGTGGTAGAGCGAAGTGTATTTCTTAAATTATAGACGGGTGACCGAAGTCAATATTGCTTTTCGCGGGTTCATAAAAACATATATTGACCGAACCCACCAGTCCATAATTGTTTTATTATATAATTACCGGAAAAAACGCATCTAAAAACCCACACATGTCCATTTAGTCAAGAAAAGTAATTTTATTTTTCGCTACAAACCAATAACGTTATGTTAACAATACTGTGACATGTAAACAATAAAATGACGTCATAGCGTGACGTCAAAATCTATTTTTAGTAACTTAAGTCAATATGAGTTTTGGTCGGATATGGTTGGAGTCAATATACTTTTCTGTCGACGGTCACGTGACCGCCTCTAGACCAATCAGGTAGCCGGAAAAATGTGCTTACATAATAATCCAAAATGACATTACATGACGTTGTTAACTTTCACGCTGAAAAATACAGAATTCGAATCAAAATAAATCTTATCTGATCATCCAAATTTTGAAAAAGGCTTGCACGGTGGGGATATTATTTTAAAAAAACAGATTCTAAATATCAAGTGTCTATCCAGCTTGAGATTAATTTCCCTAGTTTCTTTGTCTGCTTTGTTAGGTTAACGCGCCCTTAGGTATATCAGTGAGAGAGTTTTAACAGCAATATTCCAGCAAGATCACGGCGGGGGACACCAGAAATGGGCTTCACACATTGTACATGTGGGGAATCGAACCCGGTTCTTCGGCGTGACGAGTGGACGCTTTAACAACTAGGCTACCCCACCGCCCCCTTAGGTTTATCAACATTTTCAGAAATCGCGGGTAACGAATCAGTGTTCACAGATGCGTTAAAACATTGTCTCAGAGTTTATTATGCTGTTCTTACAGACGGTAGCCCAGTCGTCTCTTGTCATGCTCAATTGCGTTAGCCTGAACATGTTTCATGGCAACCATTGAGTCCAAGGTTAATCATTGAGGGTTGAATGTCTTTCATGGTATCAACCCGATTATAGAAAATGCCAAACACATACATTGGTTCACGACTGGACTTGGTTGGTTTACTGCCAGAAGTTGACTTTCAGAATGATGGAGGCGGTGGGGCAGCCCGAAGAATCGGGTTCAATTCCACACATGGGTACAATGAGTAAAGCCAATTTATTGTGTTCCCTGCCGTGATATTGCTGGACTATTGCTAAAATCGGCGTAAAACTATACTCACTCATGTCCCCACTCACTCACTCACTCAGTCGTCACGATATGGCTGAGATATTGCCGATGTGACGTTAAATATTAACTCACTCACTTTCGGAGTTTACAGCCAGAAAGACTGTCAGGTTTTTTTGTGCCGACGGAAGACTGATTTTGAGAGTGAAAGAATGACTGTGCAGATAGTATCTTAATGAGTGAGTGAGTTTAGTTTTACGCCGCACTCAGCAATATTCCAGCTATATGGCGGCGGTCTGCAACTAAGCTAACCCTAACACTAACCCCTAACCCTGACAGCTGCGATTTTAAATAGTATTGGTATAGAGTACATGTGTATGAATATTAGAGGAAAAGACATTGTAAAATAGTTACAAAATATGTTGGCGAACGTATACTATAATCGCACCAAAAACTGTCTAGTCCCTTCAATCAATCGATTTTTGAGAGGGACTTTTATTTGCGATCTGCTAAGTCACTCATTTCTCTGTGTGGTCTGAGTTACTGAGACCTTTTTGTACCACATGTAGTCAACTATGAGTGAGTAAGTGAGTGAGTTTAGTTTTACGCCGTACTCAGCAATATTCCAGCTATATGGCGGCGGTCTGTAAATAATCGAGTCTTGACCAGACAATCCAATGATCAACAGCATGAACATCGATCTACGCAGTTGGGAACCGATGACATGTGTCAACCCAGTCAGCGAGCCTGACCACCCGATCCCGTTAGACGCCTCTTACGACAAGCATGGGTTACTGAAGATCAATTTTAACCCGGAACTTCACGGGTAAATAGTATCTCAACCCTGAAGACATCCCGGTATCCACAAATCATTTATTTAAAATTCACGGAAATCTTAAGACTAAACAGTCATGACTGTATTGATTAAAATTGTCCTACTGAACTATTCAAACTCCAGTAAAGAGATTATCATAAACTTACTGAACTCGAAAGAATTAATTTCATTTAAGTCCTTCCAGGGAATCAGACTTATTTCGGATACATTTCCACATCAAGTTAACTCGATTTGAGCGACAGATATCTCTGCACCACTAACAAGTCACCTGTGAGCAGCGCTCTATGCTGATTGGATGAAATCGTCTATATAAGACAACGGTCGTTTCAGACGGCACCAGCTGTTGAATACGCACTGACTACAGCAGTAAGATGAAAGACACCAATAGGAAGGGCGATGACGAAAAATACATCTCCTGCGCCATCATGGGAGACGGCATGGTCGGCAAGACCAGCATCTCCGAGAGCTATGCTCAGAAATCCTTCAAGGAGAACTATGAAGCCACAGTGTTTGACAACTATGTCGTCCCACTGCAGGTCGCTGGAGAGGAGTTTGTCATCAGCATGTTTGACACAGCAGGAAAGGTGAGATCTTTATAATGTCATCGGATGGCTTTTCGTTTGAGGATGAATTTTTGTGACTGTCTCCTTAGATGGGCTTGCCAATGTCTGTTGTATCGATCAGTAATTATACGTATAGCACTATGATTCATTTACACTGACTAAATGTCAGATGCATTATTGATTTCACAGATTACTAAAAATGAGAATAGAAGGTCTTCATGCATATTCTCGTGGATCTTCAGATAACAATATGTTTACCTTCGAACTTTCGTTTTTCAGAAAACCTTTGAGAATCTTCGTTCCTTCACATACTGTGAGAGTGAAGTCCTGCTTCTGTGTTTCTCCACCTGTGACCGGGAGACGTTGGCCAGCATCAATGACCTGTGGATGCCAGAACTGAAGAGACATTCCAAACATGCCAAACAGAAGAGACCGATCATCCTTGTGGGCACCCAGATTGACCTCCAGGTCGGGAATGAAGACAGCGAGGTCAGCACGGACGAGGGTGTCCAACTGGCCAAGGACATTGGTGCTGACTGTTATGTGGAGTGCTCGGCCCGCGACCACAAGGGTTTGAAGGAAGTCTTTCAGCATGTTGTCTTCTCCGCTCTGAAATTCAGGAAGAAGAACACGAACATTATCAAGAAGATCTTTAGACGTTGAAATGGACTTAAGATTATGTGCCAGTTGACGACAATGCTCTTTTAGCGTGACTATCACGCCACGGAAATCAAAACTGGCGCTTCAACTGGAATCTCAAACTGTGATATATTTTACATTTAGTAAACCATCGCGTGCCTTCTCCCGCGTGATGCCAATTTTCTCAGAGCAGTTTGTGCTTGCGTTGTGAACTTGTTATAAATTCCTGTGATCTTATCTGTGCGATAATTCCCATCACTTTGGTTGTTGGTGATGCTGTTCACCGATTTTTTATATCATATACAAACCGCAAACTGTATTGTGAACGTGTGGCGAGTGACATTATACCGTTTACACAACGTGACTGCTTTTACAAGAGTCACGTGCGACGGGACAATCTACATTTTACGTGTGGACAAGTTTTGTCTTTACCAAAGCATTCCAGTGTTCTGTGCCGTTTGTGTAAACAATATGCAATTTTCGTGTTCATATCATAAATTTTAAAAACATTAATGTTTTTGTATTTGAAATAAAATTGAAAATGAAAGTGAATTTGTATGTATTTTTTGTCCGAGTGGAAATAAGGAAAAAGCTGTGGTTTGTTTTGGTGTCGGGTCTTGCAAAGGTAAAATTTCCAAATTTGCTGTTAAAATCATTCATTCTTATTACGTATAATGTTTTTTTTAATACTGGCTACAATGTGTGTAGCCCATTTCATCTATAACCCGCTTTGATATTGCGTTAGCATTCAGAAAGCGGCGTAAAACGTCACTCACTCACTCACACACAAACATATATGGGGCTATTTGGTGCTCACTGCCTTCCAAATATCACCGTTTGTTTTATGACATATGCACATAAGCAAATACGAATGTTTCTACTCAGTGTCAGTTGACGAAGAATGAAGGTATTAAGTAACAAAGATTTTCGACATACATAAATGACCTTCACCTTAACTTGTTGACAACTATATACCATGCTCTAGAGATGTCACTTCAGACCTGAAACTGACTGTCACTCATAGCGATATGCGACTTCAGCAGAGGGTCAATTATGTCCGCCGTACTGACCAGCAGGAGACAGGTAAGGATTGACAAGGATTCTGACAAGTATTAAAGTGCTTCTGACACGATTTTAGCCTATATTTGCTACACGAAATGTCAGAACCCGTGACATTTAGCCACTTGGTAGAAAAACAGCAGACATACATTTGACAAGGTTCCAATGATAGGGTCTTGTAAACAGCCTAGGGAATAACAATTACTTCTCAGGGATCATGTCACTTAAAGATGCAAATTCTGGATTTACTTTCACAAGAAGGATATTGTAATCAGCCCAAGGGATAACGGTAACATGTCAGAGATAATCTCAATTGAATCTGCAAATTTTGAAATTACTATCACAAGAAGGGTCTTTTAATCAACAGAAGGAATAACGGTAACTTATCAGGGATCATCGTAAGTAAAGCGAATTCTTAAATTACTATCACCAGAAGAGTGAGTGAGTGAGTTGAGTTTTACCCCGCACTCAGCAATATTCCAGCTATATGGCGCCGGTCCGTAAATAATCGAGTCTAGACCAGACAATCCAGTGATCATGATTAGAGATGTATAATCTGAACCAGTGTCTCTTTTAGATCTGTAACCCATGCTTGTCGTAATAGACGACTAACGTGATAGGGTGGTCAGGCTCGCTGACTTGGTTGACACATGTCATCGTATCCCAGTTGCGTAGATCGATGCTCATGCTGTCGATCACTGGATTGTCTGATCCAGATTCGATTATTTACAGACCGCCGCCATATAGCTGGAATAGTTTTAAGTGCGACGTAAAACTAAACTCACTCACTCACTCTTTGAGTACAGTGGTAAAGTCTCCTTCCACAGGTACATATGTAAACCTTGTACTGAATTGATTGTACAATCACAACTACTAAACATGTAAACAGAGAAAGGCACGTGTAGATGAAGAGCGTGCCGACGTGTCCTGGCTTTGATGACAAGCTCTGTTGCATTGTTTAACTGAAGCCAGGATTCCATGAGTGCTTGAGTCCCTAACGGAACTTCTCGGGTTTCCAACCTACTCCTGCCAAACGACAAGCCATCAACTTCGGTTTCTGTCTGAGTGGATGGACTTTTGTAGTCAAGACAGTGTCAGAATCTTCTTCATCCTGGGTAGTTCATGGGGTGGTTTGTCGGCATACCCATTAGCCTTGGTGACAGGTGAAACATCAATTTGTTCAGTTTCCATCCAGTCTGATAATCAAACCCTCCAAATTTCCTGACAACTTGTACTAGCGACTAGTTCACCAATAGTTTTTGTCATTTCCCTTTTCTTAACCTCTCTCTTCAGTAGAAATCCAATGCTCATACATGTATGTTCTTTTTTATTTAGATCAGAACAGTAAGCATATTTCAGGCCAACTGTCGACATGACGCAGGCCGGTCTTATAAGCCTTACTGCTGGTATTGCCATTTCGAAAAGATTATATGATACTGGCTTGTTGAACTTGTTTTTAAATTCACGTTTGATCTGCTGGAATTGTCTCTTTTAGATCTGTAACCCATGCTTGTCGTAAGAGGCGATTAACGGGATCGGGTGGTCAGGGTCGCTGACTTGGTTGGCACATGTCATCGGTTTCTAATTGCGCAGATCGATGTTCGTGCTGTTGATCACTGGATTGTCTGGTCCAAACTCGATTATTTACAGACCGCCGCCATATAGCTGGAATATTGCTGAGTACGGCGTAAAACTAAACTCACTCACTCACTCTTTTAGACCTGATAAAATATTTTTAAAACATTGGCCCTCACAGGGGTCTGCAAAGTCAATCAACTTCTTATTTACCAACTTTGCATTTTTTTATTTAAGCTATCACTTTCTCTAATTTAATTTGTTTGGGTATAAAATCTTGGTGGGATGCACCACAATCTCCATCAAAGCTATTTTACTCATATTTTACCCAATTTGTATGGAAGTGTGTCCGCCTTTCGCACCTACAAGATAGAAAAGGATACTTAATGGACCTTATAACTTTGTGATTAGTGGTTGTCAGTGTCCCTAGGCCTAGGTGCTTGTCCGCCCACGTCGCATATGGTCAAGATTCCATGGGCGATACGACAAAAAGTGTCCACTCCGGTCGGGCACATATCCTCGGGATTAACTTCTCAGTCCCCAGGGCAGACACTGCCTTTGTGTCCCCCGCAAGGTCGTCTTACTCCCAAAACCCCCATTCCCCATCCTCGCCACGTGCACACACACGCTCTTACAGAGAGAGAGAGAGGGGAGGGGAGAGAGAGAAAGAAAGAAAGAGAAAGACATTCTCGCCTGCGCATGCTCAAATCCTTCCATGCTCTAGGTGAGAATCTCACTGGCCACTTTCTTTCTTTGCAACAGAGTGTTGGATGGCCTGATTTATTCTTACACCAGTTTAGGGAAAGATGTGTAGACTTTGAGAATCAAATCTGTCATGAAAATGTTCAATCTTGCTCTAAACTTGAACTGTTCTTTGCTGTAAAAGATCATTCTCAATATCATAAATGGGTTCGATTTATCGATGTAAAATTATTTTAAATTAATATTTTAAATTTTCTAGGATCTAATCCCCCTCTTCTATTAGAAACGGGCAGACGTTATAGAATTCCACGAAATGAACGTGATTGCCCTCTTTGTATTATACCAGTTGTCGAGGATGAATTTCACTTTTGCCTCGCGTGTCCCTTTTACCTTGATCTGCGATCCAGTCTCATACCTCAATATTTCCACTTGTTTCCAACTCGCGAGAAAATGGTCTTGTTATTTTGCTCCACTAATCATAACATATGCAATAATCTGGCAAATTATATATTTCTTGCCGCTAAGAAACGTGATTCCTTTTTCAAAGGGATATCTGTGAAATGATCTCTTAGCTACATTGATGTCCTTAATGTACGTGTATTTATATACAGCGCTCATGTCACAATTGTACTTCATCATGCTCTGTACTTGTATAATCCGCCGGTGGCCCCTTTACTGGAATAAAAGCAACATCAATCACTCTTCATCAATTTATCAAATAGTAAATACATTCGCGAAATCTATAACACTTTTCACTTAAACCCACTGTTTCTCTGCAATCGGTAATCGGATGTCACTAATTAACTGTCCCCAGCTTCCATATGATTTTATCTACACGTGTTAATTGTAATAACACGTCAAAGCCCCAGGTCGATTCCCCACATGGGTACAATGTGTGAAGCCCATTTCTGGTGCCCCAGCGCCGTGATTTTGCTGGAATATTGCTTAAAGCTGCGTAAAACCATACTCAATCTGTCGGTATTGCAGGACTTGCTTTCCTTTTCAAGAAACACCTGGTGTCATCACTGATTCTCAGTGATGCATTCGATAAAATTGCACCACTGATTCTAGACTTAAAAGTCTCGTTTCATTTTCAGATTTGTTTAGATACACACCGTACATATTAAACTTTACTGACAGAGGTATCAAACAAGACCCGCTCGTGAGAGGCAACTAAGGCATCAGGCTCGCTGATTTGGTTGACACATGTTATCGTTTCTCATTTGCGTAGATCGATGATCATGCTGTTGATCACTGGATTGTCTGGTCCAGACTCGATTACTTACAAGCCGCAGCCATATAGCTGGGATATTGCTGAGTGCGGCGTTAACTACAAGCAAACATACAACACGAAATCTCACCACTGAACGAATGATTATTAAACGAAGTGCCTTGCAATCACTTTGGTCGACTGTAAGACTACGATTCCTGATGCTGATCCGGTTTGTTGCAGCCATGTCGAGTTGACTCTAAACCTACACCGCAAATGCTATCCATACACGCGAGTCTGATAATATCAGTTTATCCACATGTTATTTTAGAAGGGTATATTATGCCTGTACATTGTGCAAACATGTTTCCATAGTTTACAAAGACAATACTGTATGACTGTTACTGGTTTACCAGCATCAAATAAAATGTGAATTTATTCTGTAATGTGGGCCATGGACTTATATACTGAAATATAAACTGTCTGTCTGTCTGTCTGTCTGTCTGTCTAGTTTGCCAACTGCCATCTTATTTTGAGGATTCTAAAACTGAACAATTTCATGGTCACGATTATTAAATTATTATCAAATTATTAAAGGGTGCGAATTAATCTAATACATCAAGCAGCAACGTTTATCAGATTTTTTAACTAAAGAGCTCAAAAGTCTAAACAAAACATTTCTCTGTACCTCTATCAGAATTGAATGTTTTTGTATCAAAATTTGGGTCTAACCTTCCCTAAAATGAGCGTGTTCACATAGACAAATGCATTTTGACCGACTTTGAAGCAAGTTAGGATGGCACAGGTGCTTCGTGCATTGCGCGTGTTTACCTGGGAGATTAATTAGCAATAACATCGCCTATCCTTAATAAGCAGTCCGGTAGGTGAGAAGGTTGTGTTTTACTGAACATATACTTCACGTGTACGATTCCTCATCCGTACACGAGAAATCATTTTTGTTATGTATTCTGCCGTCAAATATTTGACAACTAGTTAGAATCACCTGCTCCAGTACGGATTGCCACCAAACACCAGAACGACAAGCGTCTGGCAACAGCCTATGTATCATCTGTTACGAAACCGTTACTTCACTTGCATGATTTCATATTATGACTCTCACCACACGGAACACAAAAACAGAAGCTCCAAACAATCACAGCATAATACAAACATTGTCATAACTCCCCAGACTCGTAAACATTAATAACAGTTTGCAAGATTTCCTTTAGTCCATAATGATTTACTTTGCACGCGTAGCTCCTGTTTGGTCGTCCGAGCAGTCACTCTGGCATCGCCAGACCACGTGATCTCCGCGGCAAGTGAGTTCTTGTTCCTTATTGGTCAGTTGTGTCTATATAACCAAGTACGCTGGCACGGACTGGCACAGGTTGTGTGACAGCCACTCACGATAAACTACAGAGCAATGAAGGGTAGCAATATGAAGAATGATGAGCAGAAATACATCTCCTGCGCCATCATGGGAGACGGCATGGTCGGCAAGACCAGCATCTCCGAGAGCTATGCTCAGAAATCCTTCAAGGAGAACTATGAAGCCACAGTGTTTGACAACTATGTCGTTCCACTGCAGGTTGCTGGAGAGGAGTTTGTCATCAGCATGTTTGACACAGCAGGAAAGGTGAGGATATGTTTCAACTTTTCTCGGTTATTGACAGTACATGTATTATATATATGTTTTTAGTATCAGTTGGGGCGGTGGGGTAGCCGAATAGTTAAAGCTTTCGCTCCTCTCACCGAAGACCGGGTTCCATTCCCCAAATGGGAACAATGTGTGAAGCCCAATTCTGGTGTCCCCTGCCGTAGTATTGCTGGAATAATACCAAAATAAGCGTAAAACTAGACTCATTTTGTATTATTTAATTAGGACAGCCCCTCAAACATGTCACGATAACTGTGTACATTGTTAATTCTAAGTAGCTATGCTAATGTCTTAATACACTTTCAAATGAAAAAATTGCCAAACCTGATGCTTTAAAAAAAATCACATATTTACCATTGCTATTTCAATTTTCAGAAAAACTTTGAGAATCTTCGTTCCTTCACATACCGTGAGAGTGAAGTCCTGCTTCTGTGTTTCTCCACCTGTGACCGGGAGACGTTGGCCAGCATCAATGACCTGTGGATGCCAGAACTTAAGAGACACTCCAAACATGCCAAACAGAAGAGACCGGTCATCCTCGTGGGCACCCAGATTGACCTCCGGGTCGGGAATGAAGACAGCGAGGTCAGCACGGACGAGGGTGTCCAACTGGCCAAGGACATTGGTGCTGACTGTTATGTGGAGTGCTCGGCTCGCGACCACAAGGGTTTGAAGGAAGTCTTTCAGCATGTTGTCTTCTCCGCTCTGAAATTCAGGAAGAAGAACACGAACATTATCAAACAGATTTTCAGATCGATACATTAATCGATGAATTAACAAATGGCGCGCTCTATTCGAGCGAGGGTGACATTACTTTGTGGTGCTTGAATGTCAATCTGAAAAGCATGGCACCCAGTGGACATGTGATAGAAATGACACCGCACAAGGTGAACATGTATGTGATAAATGAACTCTGTGATAAGAAATGATCTCGGCCTGCGACGAGAAGTTATGATCTCGGCCTGTGATATGAACTTATGATCTCGGCCTGTGATATGAACTGATGATCTCGGCCTGTGATATGAATTTATGATCTCGGTCTGTGATGTGAACTGAATTTCGGTACGTGATATGATCTGTGTAACAGAACCAATATGCCGCCCATTTTCATGTTTCATGTTATGAAATAAGTTTGCCTTATGATAATCTTTTACCGATTATCGTTTATGTTGTGTTCTCTCATTGCCGGTGATGTCGCGTTTCCTTTGTCATTATTGCCATCATCTCATGTAGATGAACCAGAGGAAAGAGATATCATGTTTGTTATGTTGTATACAATTGTTACACTTTTCACAAAGCTGCTGGACAGCGAATTTCAATAAAATACTGACATGAACTTCGAATTAGTGTTTTTTTCAATCATGGAAACTGTATAAACATATAGTTTGTTTGTTTGTTTAACGCTGCACTCAGCAATGTTCCAGCTGTATGGCTGCGGTCTGTAAATAATCGAGTCTGGACCAGACACTCCAGTGATCAACAGCATGAGCATTGATATACACAGTTGGGATGCGATGACACGTGTCAACTAGGTCAGCAAACCTGACCACCCTATCCTGTTAGTAGTCTCTACAAAGATATAGAAACAACTGATTTGAGATTTCTTATGGATGTTGGAAGGGTTTTGTCGTTTCTATTTGATTGGAGGGCTGACCATATTTTATTCGCACGGGTTGGTATCTCTATGTGTGTGTGTGTGTGTGTGTGTGTGTGTGTGTGTGTGTGTGTGAGTGAGTGTTCTTTTACGCCGTTTTTAGCAATATTCCAGCAATATCACGGCGGGGGCCACCAGAAATGGGTTTCACACAATGTACCCATGTGGGGAATCGAACCCGGGCCTTCGACGTGACGAGCTGATACTTTAACCAATAGGCTACCCCACCGATCCCGAGGTTGGTTGAAAAATCGTGAATATATTTGGTAGTACATGTACTACTCTTTTCAGCTACAGTTTTGCAATAAGAAGTTGTTGTTTTTTATTAGAAGTATGAGCCTGAATATTATTTCTAAGAGAAACACATTGCAAAATTATATTTTTTGTGGCAGGTACTTTTTTCTATTTTTTTTCAGAATATCGTATTGTCGGCTCATTTGGAGAATGATTGTGTGAGGTAAGTCCCTCGCTACCCAGCATTCTACTTCAGTTTTATGATGGCCTGTCAGAATGAAACCGAATTTCCAATGGCCCAGGTTCTCGAAGCCTACACGCTGGTGCTGAGTTGGAGTGAAACTGGGATTGGAAAACTTGTTAACCCGAGGGGTTTGTCTCTCTGCATCGGGGCAGCATTAACAAGTCAGTTGTGCACTGAAGTCGTGACGATACGCACATACCAGTCAGTGAGCATCAACCAGATGTCGATATTGTACATCTTAAAGTCAGAGTCTGGGCATTGTCGTTAAAGCGTTCGCTCGTCACACCGAAGAACCGGGTTCGATTCCCCACATAGGTGCAGTGTGTGAAGCCCATTTCTGGTGCCCCCCGCTTTGATGTTCCTGGAACATTGCGTAAAACAAAACTCACTCACTGGGCATTTGATACGCGGTGTAGCCAACTTTACATACCCCCATACATACGCACGCACGCACGCACGCACGCACATACAAACATACATACATACATAGAAACGCATACATACATACATACATACTAGTACATACATACATGCATCATGCATACACACACACACACACACAAGTCTGGATTACCTAGGTTTCTCAAAATGAAGAAAGTCTCTGGGCTCCTTTTTATTGTATTTCATTTTAATTTAAAAACTTTAATTTAAAAAAAGATATGCTTATTTCAGAGACTAGTTGTTAGTCTAACGGTAGTTGTACATGCTACTGTACATTCTACCGACTTGTAGAAGGGCACCCGATAGGATGACCTACTTAACTAACAGTCCGATGCAATTTTAAATCAATAAACTGTCGATGAAACAAAATTGAATCGTTAATCCTTAGACGCACATGGAAGTTATTGCGGATTAGTGGGATCTCGTGAATGTCTGTGAAGGTCTGGGTTAGAATATTGATCTTCAGTAACCCATGCTTGTCGTAAGAGGCGATTAACGGGATCGGGTGGTCACGCTCGCTGACTTGGTTGACACATGTCATCGGTTCCCAATTGCGCAGATCGATGCTCATGTTGTTGATCACTAGATTTTCTGGTCGACTCGATTATTATATAGCTGGAATTTTGCTGAGTGCTGCGTAAAACTAAACTCACTCACTCACTCCTGTTGGGGTCATTACATGCTGTCATGGAGGTATGACAACGAAAGTCAACTGAGTACAAATACCCCGGAGACAGGGCAATATGGTAACTAGTTGTCTGCGACCTTTGGAACATGGACAGACTTGAGGTTTATGTAACGGTGTTTTCATGTAAATGTTTCACTATAAATGTTGAGATGGTTTGTTAATTCTATTCATACTGAGTAAACATAAACATTTTTTGACGGGGACGGTGGGGTAGCCTTGCGGTTAAAGCGTTCGTTCGTCACGTCGAAGGCCCGGGTTCGATTCCCCATATGGGTACAATGTGTGAAACACATTTCTGGTGTCCGCCGCCGTAATATTGTTGGAATATCGCTAAAAGCGGAGTAAAACCAAATTCACTTACTCATTTTAAGAGTTATGTGGGGAAAAACTCGATTTATTGAGTGATCTATGCACAGAAAAAATGTTTTTCTGTTTCGCCAGAAAACAACGTGCACTTGAATAAAAAATGTGGATAAAAACATCTCAGAAAACAACAGTCGAATTCATTAGATTACATAATTATTCACATCCTCTGTAATATTTTCATGAATCGCGAGCTTACTAATAAATAGCATTCGTCACATTTACATGCCACACACGTCAACGTTTTCTTATGCTCTACTCGAACCAGTCAATGAAGGACATTTTACAATTAATTTTGTGAGTTTTATACAAATGAGAACTAATTTGCAAACATGCTGTCTTCAATCATTATGGATAAAAAAGGCCAAGCCTCCATCACACTGTGATGTAACGTACGACGTTGGCTAAGCGTCAAGGATGTCTATAGCATGTTGATATCAAGTAATCAATATCGATGAGTAGGTGACAGCTGTCGTTCAAGCCACCACCGCGCGTACTAATTACAATGATTGGTTTGTCAAATTGGAAACTAATTTTAAACTTTAAACTTTGAAACCGTTGTGTTCATACCATGTGATGTAAATAGTAAGTGGTGGATTTAATTGTATTTTCTCCTTCTCTGACCTACACGTCAATAAGATGCACCAATGCATGTTGATTGCATTCTAACCCAGTGAACGTTAGAACTTCATTGCACTTTTCTGACCCCAGACAGTGTAGTTTGTATGCTAATGTGAATATACTCAGAGGAATCCTGCCAACATTTGAAGAACTGTTTAATGTTCTTAACACTAACAGCAGTGACCCGTGAAGGTCCGGGTTAGAATGAATCTTCAGTAACTCATGCTTGTCGTAAGAGGCGACTAACGGGATCGGGTGGTCAGGGTCGCTGACTTGGTTAACACATGTCATCGGTTCCCAATTGCGCAGTTCGATGTTCATGCTGTTGATCAGTGGATTGTCTGGTCCAGACTCGATTATTTACGGACCGCCGCCATATAGCTGGAATATTGCTGAGTGCGGCGTAAAACTAAACTCACTCACTGAGAGCAGTTGAATTATGATATTCAGGGAAAACCCGTTAACAGAAAAGGCTCTGCTTTAAATTTCCCGATAACGAATCTTGAGTTTGTTTTTACATCCCTTCTATTTTGAAACCACTGACGATTAATTATCCGGAAAGACGAGGTTCCGATCTGTCGGGGTCCAGATTAACGCGTTTTCACTGCGCAAAGTACGTAGAAAATGTGTGACAGAGTTGGACCTCTATACAGAACACTCCTAGAAGACTAAACACCTCTGTTAACAAGACTTTTAGAAGACAATAACCACTGTCAGTTTCTGACTGTCTTTACACTCGGTCAGTAAGACATCTAGACTAGAGACCTATGTCGGTGAGATTTCTAGCAGGCTAAACCACTCTGTTCCAGCAAGCAGTACAGTCTATCAGCAAGACATCTAGTAGACTACAGATCTGTATCAGTGAGTGAGTGAGTAAGTTTAGTTTTACACCGCACTCAGCAATAGTCCAGCTATATGGCGGCGGTCTGTAAAGAAGACAATAAGATCAATTCCGACCCGGCTTTTCACGGGTCTGTATCAGTAAAACACCCGGATCTTCACGGGTCTGTATCAGTAAAACGTCCAGCTGACTAAGAACCTTTATCAATGAGACTCACACTATACACTCTATCTAGTAGATGCCTTACTAAAGGAACGTATAGTCAGGTAGTCTTACCGATTGAGGTGTATCATCTGCTAGAGGACTCACTGGTAAAGACTACACTCTATCATTAAGGCATCAAACAGACTATGACCTATATCAGTAAAACCGCCAGTGTACTGATAGAAGTCTATAGTCAACTATGAGTGAGTAAGTGAGTTTAGTTTTACGCCGCACTCAGCAATATTCCAGCTATATGACAGCGGTCTGTAAATAATCGAGTCTGGACCAGACAATCCAGTGATCAACAGCATGAGCATCGAACTGCGCAAATGGGAACCGATGACATGTGTCAACCAAGTCAGTGAGCCTGACCACCCGATCCCGTTAATCGCCTTTTACGACAAGCATTTGTTACTGAAGATCAATATTCTAACCCAGACCTTCACGGGTTATAGTCAACTATAGTAGACTATAGACCTCTATCAGTAAGATTTCTAGCAAGCCATACACCTCTATCAGTAAAACATCTAGTAGACTATAGACTTCTATCAGTAAAACATCTAGTAGACTATAGACTTCTATCAGTAAAACATCTAGTAGACTATAGACCTCTATCAGTAAGGTTTCTAGCAAGCCATATACCTCTATCAGTAAAACATCTAGTAAACTATAGACCTCTATCAGTAAAACATCTAGTAGACTATAGACCTCTATCAGTAAAACATCTAGTAGACTATAGACCTCTATCAGTAAAACATCTAGTAGACTATATACCTCTATCAGCAAAACATCTAGTAGACTATAGACCTCTATCAGTAAAATATCTAGTAGACTATAGACCCTATCAGTCAAACATCTAGTAGACTATAGACCTCTATCAGTAAAACATCTAGTAGACTATAGACTTCTATCAGTAAAACATCTAGTAGACTATAGACCTCTATCAGTAAAACATCTAGTAGACTATATACCTCTATCAGCAAAATATCTAGTAGACTATAGACTTCTATCAGTAAAACATCTAGTAGACTATAGACCTCTATCAG